GTCCTGCCTGTAGCAGGTGCCCGTTGTTGTTGCTCGGCATCAGCGTTGAGGTAAGAGGGTTTTGTCCCTGGGGGCCGAACACAGCCAGGGCTGGAAGCAGAGGCAAACTTTGATGTGTCATTATTATCACAGCACTACAGTCTTTCACTTTTGGGTTTTGGTGTTTGAGGCGGCCACGATAGAGCAAACCAGTGAAATCTGTCCAAGTTCTGTTGTTTCCTTGGCTCCATGCAGTCCCGCGGCTGTTTGTATACAGATATTACCCTAGCCTGACTCGCTGACCGTATGCCGAAGTCCTTGATGTTTTCTCTGGGCAGCTCTTTGCTCTCGCACGTTTAAGGGCATTAAAACATGTCGCCGCGCCTTGTGTTGTCCTGGAGAGCGGGAGGAATTCACAATTACTCCGTGAACTGTAAGCTGCAGTTTGGAAAGCCTCGGCCGGGTCCCTTCGTGTCTTTGTGCCTGAGGTCAAGTTCAGTCACTGCTGCCTCCTTGCTCCCCAGCTTGCAACGGGGTGTTTGATGTGGGACAGAGGACCCTGAGCCGGTCCTGAGTGGGGAACCTGTGGCTGCAGGGTCAGGGAAATGATTGCAAGTGGGGTGATCGTTTGTTTTTTTTTTTTTTTTCAGAAGAAACTTTTCCCTTGGTGTTAAAACTAAGAAATTCTGGGAGTACTCCTCAGGGAAGTCTTAATTTGAGTCCAAAATAAACTCTTAAGCTCTTATTTAACTAGTCCTCCTTCGCAGGGTCACTTCCCTGAAGGCTGGCGTAAGAGGAGGGCTTTTTTCTGCCTGCTCTGTGCTATATTTAATAGCTGACGGAGTGGAGGGTAGGGATTTAATTACAGTGATGTTGTGATGTGGCTGCTGCCGTTAGACGCTGCGGGGCACTGTTGCCTGTGTGCTGCACAGCATAAACCTGCATGGTTTGTGTAGGATATTAAAGCCGGGCTGTGGGGGTCCAGAGTTCGGCTCCTTGTGTGTCACTTCGAGGAGGGCACCGCGCCGGTGGAGCGGAGCCACGTTTGGAAAGCGCCTTGATGTCCCTGTCCTGGGAAAACTGCTTTTTGCCCTGATGAAAACTCCACGGTGGCGATGAGCGCGAGCTTTGTACTTTACTGTGGAGTGGTGTCTTCTGGGCTCTTTTTTTGTTGTGGAGGAGGAGGAAGGTGTCAAGGAGACGTGGGTCTGAGGTTGGACCTGGCCGCAGTGGCCTGTCACGCTCTTCAGGGAGGAGCGGGAGCTTCCAGCTCCAGGCTGGCATTTGTCTTGTGACCCAAAGGTCGGTTCTAATCTGAACACTTGGGAAAGCACAGAGACAACTCGTCTCTCTGCCTTGGGAGAAACATCCGTGTCCTGCTGCATGTCCCCAGCTGTGTGACCTTAGGTGTGCTGTCCCGAAAAGCACATTTTGGGGATAAACCTCAACTGTTTCACGAGCTGACCCCCTCCTCTGTGTTTCAGCGTTGACAACAGCGAGTACATGAGGAATGGAGACTTCTTACCCACTCGCCTGCAAGCCCAGCAAGATGCTGTCAACATCGTGTGCCACTCGAAAACCCGCAGTAACCCCGAGAACAACGTGGGGCTCATCACCTTAGCCAAGTATGCCCTGGGGGGAACTGGCCTCAGGGGGCCACAGCTCCTGGCAAGCAGGCGGTGACGCTGAGGAGCGGCTGGGGGGACGTGTGAGAGAGCACAGGGACAAAGAACAGGGGAGTGTTGCAAAATGGAGCAGCAGTAGCACAGTCTAAAACCAAACCAGTTCTTCCAGGAGGACTGGTACAAGAAGACCTGGTTCCTGGCCAGTCTCTATCTCGTTAGGCTCACTCCAGCAATGTCATCATATGTTAAGGAGGCTTTTTTCTCTCAGGACCTCTCTGCCAGACCCATCCTTTTGTGGCCTTGTGTCCCAAAGGGTGGCAAATAAGGGCTGAGCTGTCACTGCAGCTCATGGGCAGCCCTGAGAGCGTGGTTCCTCCATTTTCCTGAAGTCTGTAGGACTTCAGCGCCTCTGTGAGCTCCCTCTTAGCCAGAATTGATTAAAATTGGCCAGTGGTCTCAAGGTTGCTGGGACAGGGGACAGAGACACACGCCAGCCTTCACGCAGACAGATTACTTTGGGTTTTTTTGGGAGACCAGGCCAAAAGTCTTGCTCCCTCTGTGCACTGACCCACCAGAGCAGAGTGCTGACAGATGCTTGGAGCAGACACCAGCTGCGGGCTTAGCGCAGGGAGGGCTTTTCTTACCCCCATGGCAAATAAAGGGTTTCGCGAAGAAATTCTCAAAGAAGAGGTTGCTGACGTAAGTGTGTTTGTGTTGCAGTAACTGTGAAGTGTTGACCACACTCACTCCAGACACGGGCCGGATCCTTTCAAAGCTACACACGGTGCAACCCAAAGGGAAAATTACCTTTTGCACAGGGATCAGAGTTGCTCACGTAAGTGGTCCTGTTGGTTCCTCACGAGTGAGTCTGTGCCTTTCTCTGTAATTCCTTTTGCCTTAGTGTGTCCTGTTGAATTACCTGTCCTGCTGATGGCTCAGATACGGGAAATCTTGCCCTCTTTCCACCTCTGGCTGAGCAGCGCCGAGCAAATAATTTTAGTTTTGCCTCTGTCTCCCATTCTGCAAAACGCAGAATTTATAAAATCCAGTATAAAAGCTCAGAGGTTTCATAGCCTGGTCCTGGCTTGCTTCGGAGGAATCTGGCAGCTGCTTCTCAGAATTCCAGCCGAGCCGTACAGCCCTGCTCACCCTGAGGAGAGCAGCTGCCACCCGAGGAGTGTCCCCCAGGATGTGGCCACCCTTTTGTCCTGTTTTCTTGCTCTGTGCCAGACAGTCTCTGTGCCAGCAGACTGCTCCCAGCTGAGTCATAACTGCTAGCGAAGGGGAGGCCCTTGAGACATGCCTGCTTGTAGAGAGTTTGGTGAAGCTTGTTACTGAAAAACCTCTCTTAGCATTTAGCCTAAATTTTTCTGTGTACCAGGAAAAGTATCAGGGGCGACTGCTGGCCACCCCTTTTTCCTGAGAATCGCTCCTCTAGTACAATATGACTTCTGTCTTGCAGCTGGCTTTAAAACATCGCCAAGGCAAGAATCACAAGATGCGAATCATCGCCTTCGTTGGGAGCCCTGTAGAAGATAATGAGAAAGATGTGAGTAATGGCCAGTCAAAAGAAAATATGTTGGGTCAGCTCTGCACTCTGCCTTGAGCCGTAAATCTGGTTTATCGCTTATTCCCTGCCCTGTATTGAAAGTAAGGTTTTATACCCCAGCGAGGAGGCTGCTTGACGGAGCCCCTTAGGCAGAGCAGTCCTCAGCTGGGAGGAGAGGGAGGGAGAGAGAAGGCCAGATCCCTGGGCACAGCCAGGCCTGAGCCAAGGACAGACATCCAAATCTCCCGCTGTTTTGTGTAGGATTGCTTCCCCTCCCTAGTTCAGGTGGCTCCAGAGGGAGCTTGCGCCACGTCCCATGCCTCCTGGCTTGTGGCTGTCACCTAGACCACTTTGGGCTTTTTGCCTGAGGAGCTTGGGGAGGAAGTCTCTGTCCCTGAGCAGAAACGATGCGCCCAGCCTTTGGAAGATGCCGTTCCGTTGGCACTTAATGCAAGCGAAGTTAATCCCGATGTTCTGGGTGTCTTGGAAAGAAAGGTCAGAAACGTGAGGAGATGCTGCCTGTCCCAGGCTCTTGCTGTCCCCCTCGATGGGGACGGTTACTTGCTTTGGCAGGAACAGCTACCTCGCTTGTGCCACCTCGCAGCCCCCCAGGCACTGTGCGGTAGCTCCTGTCCCACCTAGAGAGGTGAAATGCCTCAAACGCTTTCCTACTGGGAGGGCTTGAAACTGATTTTGGGCTTCGTGCCTCAGGGGTTGAATCCTAAGCGCTGTTGTCTGGTCTCTGATGAGCTGAGCGTGGGTAAGAGCCGAAATCCAAGCTAATGCCACAGTGTCTTCTTGTTGCAGCTGGTGAAACTGGCAAAGCGTCTTAAGAAAGAGAAAGTCAACGTTGATATCATCAATTTTGGAGAAGAGGTGAGGCTTCTGCTGTGTGTCTGGCATAAGATCCAAGGCGGGATTTTGTATCCGTTCCAGCCCGGAGCCCTTCCCCAGGCCCGTGAGGATGAGGACAGTTCTCTGAGCCTCAGTCTCTTCAGCAGCTTGCCCCTGTAAAAACGCTGATGTGGAGAGTAACATTTCCCTCTGGGAGGACACCTCTCCTGTTTCACTGCAGGCTCGTTAAATGCTTCCCGTTCTGATGGAAATAGTGGAGCTCTTGGCTCCCTCGTAGCGAGGAGAGACGCGGGGTACGCGGAGCAGCTGGCCATCCCTCTCGGAGCCGAGGAGGGAGCCAGGCGAAGCTCCAGTCCCAGCCTTTCTCTTTGGCCCTAGGAAGCCAACACGGACAAGCTGACTGCCTTCATTAACACCTTAAACGGGAAGGATGGCACCGGCTCCCACCTGGTGACGGTGCCGCCGGGGCCGAGCCTGGCCGATGCCCTCATCAGCTCCCCGATCCTGGCCGGGGAGGGAGGTGCCATGCTGGGCCTCGGCGCCAGCGACTTCGAGTTCGGCGTGGACCCGAGCGCAGACCCGGAGCTGGCTCTGGTGAG